TCTTGTAACCACCGTTGAAGGAATTAAAACCCTAACCTGATTTCAAGGAATCGCGGTCACTTTCATCTGGAAACGCGCCCAATTCTGCCTTCCTGTTTCATTTCCCACTAATATCCCACCCGTAATTCGTAAAGTGGAATGATGGCCGAAAGGAAATTTTTTTTCCAGTTCTTTGAAACCTGCAACATAAATGTGCAGAAATTTATTAAAATACCAGAACCACATTTTAGGTAGTTTTTTCTGAGAAGCCCACATTTCATAAATTAAGTGGAATGGAATAACAATAGTAAAGAGAGGGTTTAAGGTGACATTAAAATCAACCAATCGGAAACCTGCAAACACTGAGGCTTAAACCGTGCCAGAAGGTAGATCAGACAGGCCCATCCATTTGATTAGTATGCATTTGTAAAATATGATCTTATCAAACTCACACAAGGCATATGACTAAGTGTTTCGCCTAACGCCTCACTTTTAGGGGGCCCTTACTGAATGCTATAACAATTCTCTAATTGTAAAATTCCATCAGCAGGACATCGTCTGCTTGCGCGAAGGCCAACTTCATACCAGCTGTCATCTGAGTTCTCTAAAGTCGGATGTACCTTACCCGCAAGATCCAAATCTGATAAAAATGTAGGTATATGCGATTTCCTAGCCAAAAAGCCGCGCTTGACGTGTCAGTTTTTCGTTTCGAAACCATCAAGACTTGAAACAATTGGTAAAAACATTCCCAGGACGCCTGTTTGTTTTTCTGCTGTTACACGTGGCAACCTCCTTGGGTGTCACGCAGTCATTGCGTTGTGGACTTATGAGGCATTGTCGTGGTCTTGACTCAATACAAATCCTCCACAATTTACAACCTAATCGCTGAGTGCATTCCGAGTTCTTAATTAAGGGCTTGAACAGGCTCAGTGTTGGTGTTAATCTTGAATGTTGTCCAAGTCGAAGACCTTATTTAAAGCGCTTATCCACGCCAATTGGTCCGAAGCTTTTTGTGAAGATCGGGAGGTTGAATCCATTGCACAAAAGTATACCTTTAGATATTTGAAATACCCCTTCAGTAAACGATATGCGAATACCAATCCAACGGTCTAGCCTCACACAAGTCTTCTCAGCTAACTGAAATTGCAGGTGCTGAAGCAGCTTTCTGGTGACGCACCTAATTCCAAACCTTTTAGGAGGGGTGATTCAGTGCACAATACTGAAGAACGTGCCAACCCCCGTGGTTCAAATTAAGATCCAATTGAAAATGTCAACTTCAAGCCTCCTTGTAGTTATGAAATGACAGTAATTATGGCTAGTGTCGTGGCACTCATGATTGCCAAAGTGAAGCCACATCACCACCAAGAAACATTACAAGAGAACTCCCAAACTACTTCCTTGTTTTCCAGGTGGTAAAAAACATCTAAAACGGAGGACTTAGTTCGACGTGGATAAATTTAGTCTCTTTTCATACCTCTGCTGAAATTAGTTACACAGTTACTGAGAGCATAACCGTTTTGAGCAACCTTGAACAAGACGGTCTTATGCACGACGTGTCACACATATTCGATTTCTGAGTAACCCTCAAGCTAGGCTGTGATATCCACGTGACATTAACATTTATTCAAGGCGATTTTTGATTCATTGTGTTCCTGTGTGTTTGCAGTGGCAATGCTACGATAACAAAGGTGGTGCGCTACTTTCTCTGGTCGTGTCAGCAAGAGATGCGGAAGGGAGAAGTGAAGGCGAGCTAGGTGCTCACTAGTAGCAAAATAGATCGCTGTTTTGCAAGGGTGCACGTGACTGAAACACGCGTATAGGCACCGTGAAACCTGCTTCCCACAGCACGATGAGAATTATTTAAGCATGGACAACAGAAGAGTCGTCAGGATCATTGAAACAATCTGTCAGCGAGCCTAGGGGCCAACAGCCGTGGTCAACAATAAATCAGCCATCACAGGCTTCTCCTCGAGCAGCAGCACCACGTTTTTCAGCAAATTACAACTACTCACTTGCATGGTGTGTCTTGAGAAAAAAACACCAAATTTTGAACAAGAAGCGTGGGTACGTACACAACGTGGTCTGAAATTTAATCATATACACCAATATCCACCGACATACGGGGAACGGAAGAAGCAGAAATCGATTTAATGAATTGGATTTGCAGTGTTGTACTGGGGTAGAAAGTGTAAGTCGATTTATTTAAAAAAAATTCCATTGGTGAAATATGTAGTATTCAGGTTATTGTGAATTTCAATAACAATATCTCCGGTATAAGAAAAGTAAATTATATTTTTACGTATCTAGTCAAGCAACGTCTTTTAGCTACATACAAATCTATAAGGCAGTACTCTTACGCCAAGATATATTTGCAGGGGAAGGTATCAATCCTCGAAATGATTAAACATGTTCCATTATTAAGGGTTTGCAACTGCCCGAAGCAAATCTTAAATCAGATAAATTAACTTCTCGAACACGCAAAATATAACACATAAATCCAGATAACGCATTTTCTGGAGATCATTTATTCCTCGAGCATACTACGAGACTAATTCACACGAATTCCTTTCTTTATCTTGGGAATCCGATTTTTGTGGTTACGGGAGCATAGTAGTTTAGACATTGGGGTCGTTCGTTTTATCAATTAATTGTGACCAACTAATTTGCTGCACCAAATGGAGTTAACTGACGAGGATTTGAAGAGGAAAGCCAGGAGAATGGAATGGATATGAATGTAGAAAGAAAACTTGAGGACTAAGAAGCACGAGGGTTTCGGCGTCGGAAAAGGCAAACTTTTAACACATATAAATGGACCGTGCACGGGCTGAAAAGGCATGAGCTTTCAATCGCGCCATTCTTCTGTCCAAGCTTAGTGCTAAAATCGGAAACAGCGCTAAGCATAGAAGACACAGCGCTCCAGAAGGCAGTGGAATAACAACTATTCCAGGGCAAAGGCGAAGCAGAGTAGCATTCTCAGTTACCAACTTTGACGTGTTAGCTGTCATTTGCGTAGCCCTCTGTTTGGGTTTAATTACTAGCGTGCATCGATAAATTCTCGTGCCTTTCCTTAATGAAAACCAGACTTAATTAATTTTTGCCACTCCACAACTGGAGTTGCTGGTAAATTCTTATGGTCGAAATTAAAATAGTAACAGAAAAAGTTTACTCTTCGTTCAAACCAAATTTCTCGCAAATGAGAGCCTAGTGAAACGATGAGAACTAAGGGAGGAGAGGCTACAATCACAAACTAAACCGGAAAGAGTGTTTTCAGGTGAAATGGAATAACAGTATGCCTGCCGACATCAAAATTCATTAAAGGTGCCTGTGGTAACGCACTCTATTGACGGAATCAAGTTAGCACCCTGTTAAACAGTTAAACTACGTACATCAGTTGACCTAGGAGGAAACAGAATAGCAGCGCTGGCAAATGCAGTCGACTACTGGTTGAAAGTACATGAAACAAGTAGATTGCAATACGGAAATGAAATACTTACTTCGTGGAAAATTCATTATATGACTGTTGTTTGCGGGTTCTTAGCCCCCCGTAACATTTTTTACGTTTGGATCGTGAATTGAGCGTTCTGCAGATCGTTAAAAATCGAAACAGTTGCAAGACAAACCTCTTCGTACCCCGACGACCCAGGCCATAGCTAATGCATGAAAAGGCCGTTCCATTCATAGTCACATTTACCTCCCAACAACCGCCCCTCCACTATCACCGGAGCAACTTATTTAAGGCGATCATTTGAATCTGGCAAATTAGCTGGTCTTGCGACTAAAATTGGCCCTTCGGAGGACCTAACATGACCGTGGTTCGACCCCTGAAAGCCGATCCCGTTTGCACCACCCTTGGAGGTGCTGTAGTTGGAGCAAGAATGCATTTCATTACACCAGTACTGATCGAGCCCGGTAGAAGCATTGTCAAATAGGGAATCAAATTAATTTGCACGAATTTCGACTCAAGCCTAACAGGTTGAAAGTAGGCCTATAGAGAGAGTGAAATTGGCATTGACGCAACCAAGCTATTGTAAGACCTATTTGAAAGAAAGACGTACCACAAGTAAACGGGGAAGACGAAAATTCCAAGTTGCTGGAATCGCGTGCTATTCCCCCCTGGTTTGTCAAGAAGTTGCTCATCAATGCATTGGTCAAAGCACACTTCAAGAGTCAACATGCTCACCATCAAAAAGAACTGCGAGGGCGGACTTGCATCTATGCCTTAAGACGAAGGTGTTAAAACGTGAGATAATTACAACCTTCCGCTTGTACCAGCTGTCAATTGATAACGCAGCATGGAAAACAGGTCGAGTCATTTGGAGAGCCGGAAAAATCAGCCGAAGTGTGCAGGTTATAGCCCATGCGAAACAGCATCACCACTGATTTTGAATTTTATTACCATGAATGACTATTAGAGATGACGTGATAATAAAAGTGAACGTATTTGGGACCTTCCTAACGTCGCTACTCACTTCCAATAAGTAAACAATTAGAAAACAACTACGAAATTTCATTTGATAAAACACATTCGCTTACGAAATCTATCAAAAGAGAGTGTCCCCGAACGGCTTTAATAAAGTTTAGCTTAAAATAATCAAAACAAACTTACTTTTGATGTTAATCATCAGAGCCTCCTTGCCCGTTCTAACCAGATGCACGTCCCACTCAAGGCAACCCATATTGAATTTGGCTCTGAAGAAGGCAGAGCACTTACAAGCAAGGCCCACCTATATATATATTCCAAGTTTTCCGTGTCTAAAATATCGGTCCCCGTTGACAAATCACCATGAGCAGGAGCAGCAGATGATGACGTGAAGCATGAGGACTACTAAGGCAGTAGAAGTGCGCTCTCATTAACAAGCAAATGCGTTTGATTATCGAACCATCTGAAGAGAGTTGGACCATAACAATCGATGTTAACGTGCATCTCCAAAACGGAGACAACAGACGCATTGAAAATTCACATCAAGTCGACAATAAATCAGTGAAAGACGCTTTATCTGTGTGGTAGGGTCACAAATGCACTAGGGTTTTTTATCAGAAAAGTCTTTCAGAATGTCCTGAAGATGTTCGTTGTCTTTTAGCCTCACCGGGCGGGTAGCTCGACGCTGGCCGGGGCGTTTTTGCTTGGCTGCTGGAATCTACAACACGAAGAAGAGGCCTGAAACTCCCTTGAAGCGTTCCTAAATAGCCCTTCATTCAGAATCGAAGAAATTTTTCGATTCGCAGCACATTTCAATGCCTGGTTGGTGAAAAAAGTAAGCTTAAAACCATAGAAAACCATGGGACAAGGACTTAGTAAATGTGATCGAAAACGGACTTTGTTTCGCACCAACCTGCGGAGCGAATTCCGACCTTGACAAATTAATGGTTGAACTATGCTCAAAAATAAAAACCAGTGACATTCACTCTTGATTGATGAGAAGGCGGGCGTTCGTAAGCTAGTACTCGAGCGAATACAGAAGGTGACCTATCAGATTAAGGCACCAGACTGCATTTTGCCGGCACTTTCTTTAAATTTGGCACAGTGATGGAAATAGCATGCATTATTCCAGAGTAACTAGGCCAGTTTTTCCCGAAAATTCACAATTTTGTTACTTTTAACCGATATAACAGTGTAAATTTGACAACAATTTGAACTTTCGAGATCGCTTGATTTCTACATTCAGTCGTGCTGCCAACTTCTGTGAGGACTGTTCTAATGCGAGTTTGAAGAAAAAGGGATGCAAACCGTGCCGCAGTTGGTTGAGCAAATGTGCTTTGACCACTTGTCGTGCGGGTATGGATGCTACGCGAGTTAACGCAAAGCCAAATCACAAATACACGGCATAGGGGCACTGGTAGATTCGAAGCCAGATTTCCGCAACACATAGTCATCGGTGATGAGAAGTGGTGCTGTCTTCAAGCAATTGCGTGTGGCACTGTGAGGCCTGGCACGGAGACGAACAATCTACCAGCCAAACCACACCGTTTGAACGAGGTCATCCAGCAAAACCAGTCTATTTGTCAACAAGTAAGTCCTTCTGCAGCATAACGACACTACAGAAAACATTGCACAGTTGGCCGATACAGCCATGCTTAAACTTGGATGGGCAGTTCTGAACCTTGCTCTGTTGGATTAATGCCCTTTTTATTACCTAAGTCCAGTGCGAGCCATGACATCCAACAACGATTAAAAAATCAAGGCAAGTTAATGAAGAAACGAAGTAAATAATGCCACAAGCCAATAGTGCGAAAAATTCTGCATTTAGTATGCAACCAGAGATGACTAAAGGTATTCATACAACAAATATTCACGACGTAAACAAACATGCACAAGGTGGTTTGTGTGGATGAGATCTGAGATGGTGTGGAATAAATACCACATTTTCAACATCACCATCCACGAACTCACTAGACGTAAGTCGGTTATGGGCGCAGACATAAATGGGGACACACGATTGGCCCTATAACTTACAAAAACTTTTTTGTCCGCGGACATAGACGTGATGCCGTTTTTATGCAGGTACTCCTCAATCTTCCCCTCGTGAACACCTTCCACGCTGACAGCCCGCCAAAGTTGCTTGAACTCTAAAAAAAGCGAGGTTTAATGTGATGGTGCTTAGAAACACTACAACTTGAGAAGAGGATTTGACAATTTATTCAAATACTTGGGGGCTACTTGGGACGGGACCCGATTTGTACACAGCGCAGTCGCCAAACTATATGCTCCACGCTGTTCAGAACCCAGATTTCCTGTTGGATCCAAAGAAACAGCCACTTCGACATATGAACTCTACACATCAAGGTTGAATACACTGATGTACTCGGATGGTTTTATTCAGATGAGGACGCATTTCGTTTATGTAGCAGTAAATGCAAACTGTGAGATTACAGCAAATACACTTTATGAAAATACATGTAAGTTACCCTGTTGAAAAGAAAAGAAGATAAGCATACCCTCTTCCACATTCAAATCAAACGACTTGTCGTTAAAAAACAGTACAGTCTTCTTGTCATGTGGAGTGGTAACCTGGATTACTGTGTCGCCAAGATTCTACAAGACAAATGTAAAAACTTGGTAAGAGACACACTGACTCATTTTGTACTCAGAGCACGTACCGAAAAAGACTGGCAATTACACAAAGTTACTCAACACATACTACACATAACACGGGAACAATAACTGGTCCTGTAATGGAAAAAGAGTTAACTGTCAGGTTAAGACACTAGGATAACCTACATCGATTAATACATGAGATTGAATGAAGAACTCTGTTGTAACATACAACCGCGACCTGATAGGCCGATTTGACAACCGAACTTAGTAGCCGATGAAAAGACCAACGAAGCTCTCGCGGAGCAATTAATCTCCGGTGGGTTTAGGCCTGAATAACCAGTGGCCACATTTTGATATTACGCCACCGTTACTGCTAGCTACACCCTTACTGTCAGTCAAGTCTTGAGGCCCGGCTTTCTAATTGACTCCGACACACAAATGTGACGTACGCTGTTTGTGAAGCTGTAGTTCTTCTTACCAGCCACGTATTACATAACAGTATCATAGCACAACTCGGTGAACGAACGGCACACCCTTTCGTCTGTAGGCAGAAAAATGGACAGGGAACAACATACTAAGGTAGCAAACAAAAAACAACCAAACATCGCAAGTAACTTTAAGTCAATTACATATCTATTTTATCCTCCTGATTAGCAGAGCATAGGTATATTTTTCAGAATGCGAATACATGCCTTTTTTGCAAAAGGAAAGATAAAGGAGCGGAGACTGTCTGACATGCTTTTTGATGGTTTGCCATGTTTACGCCAAATGTTTTCAGTAACAGCAAAATGAAACATGCAATTTTTACCATTAGTTGAAGTAATTTAAGCCTGATTGGGCGTTTGATTAACTTTTGGATATTCCCAGATAAATGCAAGTTTTCCCTTCTTCACACACGTTTGTTAATCGAAAGGGTATAACCGAAGGTTACGTAATGTGGCCGTAGAAATAGATAAGCCGTGAGCTCACAAATGTGATTTGGTCACATCATAAAATTTGCAATTTTACTTACACGTGCTACGGAAGATTTCGAAACAAAGCATTTTGGGTGAAATATTATCACAGAAAACTATGTAGAATGCGCATGATCCTAATACCCTCCAGAACTGGAATTGCGCTAATACCATGACATGATTCAACATTGTGAAAACGATATGTCGGATAAACACATGGAAAAAATTGCGATGAATGCAGCTGCCAAGTTAACCACCTATCCGGCTATAGTAATGCCGGTGACACGACGTTTAGGGAGAGTACTGAACCGAAGTCAGCTTATGTTGCGTATGTTTTGACTTACAAAATGGGCAAAATAAATAGGTATATCAAAGTTACTCAGGGAAGCCTGAAACAAGATTTACACAATAAAAGAAATGTGGAAATTGGTAAACGTACCTGAATGACCTTCTCGGCTTCAGGGAGGGCTTCGCAGATGTCATCAAGATAAATGCCACCCAATCCTTTGATTTCGTGCTTCTTAAGAATTTGATACAGCTCATTTCGTGATCGGATGTCATACTTCGGTTTAAACACGAACTTTCCGTCTGAAGACACTGATATTTTCGGGTTATTAGGTAAAGCCTGCAAAAAATAGAATCTGCAAGACTTGACGAATATTCTAGCCCATTTTAAGACAGTTTCAACGAGTTAGCAATAAATGTCATGTCAAATGTAGGGTATGGCACGTTAGACACCATTGGAATAATGAGAAAATCAAGATGCATAACTTGATAATGAATAACCAGGAACCACATAACATTGCAGAAGCAAAATGCACAGGGTTGATATACCTCGTTTTCGAGCCAATTGATGTCTGACTGGGGAGTGTCCTGGAGCATTAATTCCTCCAGGATTTCGTCAACGGAAAGTGGATGTAGGTCACGCTCAAGATGTCTTTGCTGAGTCAGTAGTGATTAATGTGCAACTATTACCTTCATATATTTGACGACACGCGATAGTAGAGTAAATCTACCCTGATTTTGTGGTCGTGTGTCCATTGCAAGGTAATCTCGGGAGGTAGAAATAAATGGTCGCTTGGCCGGCGTTGGGCTGACATTCGCTTGGGACACTGGCTGCTGTTGGATTCGGGGCTTTTCGATTACTGGCATATTTTTTGCCCGCCGTAGAAATGCTTCACGTTCCTTTAGGAGAGATGGATCCATGCTCAATATCTGATATGAAAGCCTTGTATCCGAAAACAGCCACCGAACACTTCAATAGTGCCAGTCGCCCAATTCGATTGGTTGTGCTTGTCGACCAATAGCTAGTGTATGTTAACCCAACTAAAGTGTGCAGAAATACAAAAACCTAATATTTAAGTGTATATCTCTCACGTTGTGGTCGTAGAACTACTAAATCCATGTTTAGAATAAGTGTGACCTATCTTAATGCTAGATAATTACCAAGATGGAGCCTGAATTTGCTACCATAAGGTTTATTATCTGCAAATTATTTTCAAAGATCACTTTGGCATAACCGATATATTTCAAAGCTATATGGTCTTGCTCAATCTTGTACTTTAATGTACGATTAAGTGAGCTATTTTGGGCAAAATACAGACATCGTTTTGCCATCTTTACACAGAGATAACGTGCGTAGCGATTTTAAAGTAAAATATTTCAAGGAGAACCAACGGTTTTAATCTTGGAAGCCAATTTGTTTAAATTGGTTTTCCATAATAAATGATGTAAATAGAAGCATGTAAGAATTGGGATAAATTAGCTGACAAATATTTTCTCGTCATTCAGTCGGATGAAAAATAATATCTGAACCAAATATTAATTAACACGATTTATTAATTTAGGTTGGAACCTTTAAATGCCATTTGTTTGACCGCTCTTAACTTTTTTATTTTATCAAAAATATATGGCCTGGAAAATGGTCCATAACGGGAAATGTATACAATTTTTTGGTATAGTGTACATTCTAGAAAAGAGGTATACAATTCCTATGAATATCTCTCAAAAACAGTACATAATACTTTCAGTATATCGGCATTGAAGGCATTAAAACTAGATGAATTTATGGTATGAAACTTCTGTATGTTGACTAAATGGCGTGATTGTCTAGTTACCTCTGGGAATGGACAAATTGCAACTGTTAGATAGCCACTTATGCTCCTAAATTCACGTGCAAAGCAGTTGGTTTGTCTAGAAAAGTTAATAAAAAGATATGGCTGATTTTCTCACTAGGTTCATATGATTAAATTTTCATTTCAATCCATTGTATGAAAACGAATGCTAGTAATTACTTATTTCACGCTCAAGCAATTAAATCCTCTACATTTTGTGAAGGCTATTTGCACAGAAAGCTAGTATTGTCAGTACTTTTCTGTGGTTTTGCAGTATCATGGATGGATTCAGTAACCGTCAATTAAAAAGGAAAGGATTCTGGTATGCCAATTAACCTAATGTAGTCTTTAAAAATTTACTTAAATAGTTTATGATTGTTTTAAATTCTGCCTAGCAAAACCAAATTCCCTTTTATTTCCATAACAAACGGAACAGTCACACTTTGATTCCTCTTACTGCCCTCATCTTGTCAGGTAATTGATTTTATTTAGTTTAGTATTTGATTTTTTTAAGTATTTCATGTAACCATTACAGCTAAAAGGTGTTCAGCTAAGTAACGTTGTTTGGTTATGTCCACAGAAGACAGCAAATTCCATGATATTAAAATGCTGATATATTTATTTACGCTCCACAAAATGCAACACTTTCTCTTTGTGGTTAAACGGATGTGTACTCTAACTCGTCCCAAAAAGCTGTCAACACTATCGTGTACATTCCTGCATGGCATTGTTTTCGTGCATCTTATAATCGTGTAAAAGCTAAATCAGCCCATATTTGCAGACAAAACAACATTTTAATTTCCAGCAATCCGTTTACACCTTGATAGCCCTTTTTCCATGTTGCTTTGTTTATATGTGAAGCAGCTAAATTTCAGGTAAAATATTGGCTCGAAAATGCGTTAAAGTTAGTCCAACTAATGATATTTAAATAGTAATATGTGCAGATGCAGTCTATACCAAAAATAATAAAAAATACAAGGACAGTTCTGAATTCCAGCCGAAATCTATTTATAAATGACAGACTTCATGAAATTTGGGAACCACCTTTTGGTATTTCGCATTACAACATTAATAATTTCCCGTCTTACTAGTTTGGGTATCGGGATTATTTGTGCAACATTTCCAGGTTAAGAACACGATGCTAAATTTAAACCCTAGGTAGTGCAGTAGCCGTCTAGGATATTTATTTTAGATCAACTTAGATCAACGGCACTTTTACCTGGCTACGCCAAATTTGAAAACTTATAATTTTTTATAGACTTTTTTCGGCTTTTTAAAATTGACTTTATAGAGAATGCTTGACGTGACTGACCATTACATTTAAAAAGTACAGTTTATGCCTAAAGGAACTTAGCTTCTACCTAGTCACCACGTGATGCTGTAGTGTTTCAGCTAAGTTTTTTATCAATTCGAAAAATTCGACGATGTTCTGAACATTGGATTGCTAGAGCAGCACACATGGTACCAAAAATACGATTAGCTGGAATGAACGTAGCTATTTTAAAATAGAGGACAAAAGTGCGTCCTGTTGGCTTTATTAGCAAATATTTTACTGTGCGTTTGAATAAGGACGGGGGATATTTGGAACCAAAAAACTGGTGACGTTGTCTGTCGTTAAAAAGATTGGCTTAGTGACTTAACCCTTAGCAAAAGGTTATCAGCATTTATAGTGTTTTTAAGAGAACATCTCTTATTCACCAGGCTTTAAAACATTAATTTCGCAAATATTATCAATTAACTTAATGATCATTAAATTTTCAGGACCTTTATTTTGATGTCTACCTTATCAGAAATGCACAAAAAATGTTCGCAAATTTTTTTATAGTGCCTAGGCCAATTTAGTCCATAGGCTTGAATCTGCTGGCATAAATCAACCACGACAGGAAGATTGTTAGTCTGAAGAAGCCATCCATCAGCTGATCAGTTCAAGGAGACTGCGGCTACCTTAAATTTTTTCTAAACATATTTTATAAAGTACATGCAGAAAATGTACGGTCTATACCTGTTTCAACGATTGTGCAGTTTTCTAAAGCATTTAGCGCCTTTTCATCGCAGAACTACAAGAAGAACAGAATAAGACTGTCAATGTTGCTTGCTATATACTCAACAGTGAAATGCGACTTTCTATTTAATATAGTAATATAAGTGTGAATAATTTTCGAATTTCATTATCTCGGTATTTGGCAACTTCTTTTGGGCTATACACAACTTTAACTTGCAAAAGTTTGCAAAGACTTGATTCTAGAACCTTTCTAGCAACATATTTTTAAGTCAAAATGTCACTTAAATTTTGACTAGCGATCTCTAACTGCTCTCGTAGAGATTCAGCAAGCAAATTTGTTTGGTAAAAAAGGAATCGAAAGTCGTTTAAAGGCTTTGATTACTTTAAGAAATCCTAATGTCTGGCATGTATATCCTGAGATCAACTATTGGAAATATTTCACAAAACCCAATTAAGAAAGGTCACATAAATGTCAGTTTCGGTATATAAAAACGTACTCACGTTCAATCAATGCGTCCACACTAATTATTGCTCTTTAATTCAAAATTCTGTACTGAAAATAAACAATGCACCATCATACGTGATTTCAACTAATAGATTTTATGTGGAAAGAACAAAGGCAGCTATTTTTGTATTATTCTTAGCCGAATTCATATAGTGCAAGGACTAACATACTAAAACATGTGTATCTTAAATTTTACGTTCATGGCCGCTATGGGATGAGGCCACCATTTACGACGGGGTAAGGTGTGAACAATTAATGTCCTCATGACTCTAAACCCTATGATTGAAAGCAAATATAGAATCCCAAAAAACAAAGTGCAATCCAGAATGTTTTACATCAGTCTGACAGCAACGAGTGAACTAATAATACTGGGCATGCCACACTTACAAAAAAAATTAAAACAGGACAGAATGTGACGATACTCATTTTGTGTAAGTCAAAATGAAAAGTTTCTGGATCATGTGGTGGTTGACTTGTAGTTGTACAATAAATGAATTTTAAATTTTTTCAACAAATATATATTATCGCTGCTTTTTCACACAATCACCATCCTTCGGCAGATTGAGTAATGAAGGTACCTAGATAAGGCGCATATTATTTGAATAAAGATAGTATGATTATGACAGATCCTTTGACACACGTACATCGTCTTAGTAAAAACTGAATTTTATAAAGATCAAAATAACTTCAGTAACTGAAACAGTTACACTACAATAAGAACTCTACCGCAAGCTGTAGAATTGTCAAAAGGTACAAGTATTAAGGTATAAATTTGTGTCAGATTACACGCGTATGAAAAACTTTTGAGCATTTTTGAAATATTTGCGAAGACAAAAGTGTCGGAACCCATAAGTTTAGGTTTCAAAAATTATAATACGAATTAAGATGTGTTAATGAATAAAAGAAATATAGTGTAGCACGTATCTAAGAGCAACATTTTTTGGTTGGAATTGAGAAGCACATTACAGTGATGGGTCTGATCTTTAGTAATAGTAGCCAAATAATATCTTTCAGCATTGGATTAAAGGATTGTAACCTTGGAATATGAAAGGACAATATCTATCATAACCTTAATAAGTTTTTTCATTGAACGCACCAACAATTGTAATGGGGCTTTCAAGAGTAGGGATGATGGGCATACAATGACGAAGCTGAAGTTCCATTGCTTCAAAATGCGCTCAAATTTATGTCAGAAAATGTATTTAATGCACATGTGTGGCTTTTAGTAAACTAACTTTCAACTGTGCTTATCTTTTACTTTGACTTAGTAAAGTACCAAATCAGCCCTATTAGTACATTGACTATGAATGGACATAACAGTCTCTTTGCTGAAATGAAAGAATTGTTTAACAGCAGAAAAAGCCGAATTGTAATGAGCAAGACTTCATCTGACTTGTCTGTGTCATAAAACTTGATGCCTTATTATATGTGAAAATGACTTCTATTTATTAAAACTCTTTTAAGGTTTGCCAATTGTGAGCTGACAAACTCGGAATTAGAAGCAGCAAATGCCACTTAAGCAATTTGCAACCTTCACTAACGCGGGTACTTCGAATCAGATCAGCAATGCCGGGTGATGTAAGTTCTTAGTTAGCAATTGTCGTACATTTGGCTCTCAGTAATCGTTTTGTTGAAAATGCATTTGTTTGATTTTAATACCTTACAATATTTCTGGGTTGAGGTTTTGCGTTTTTATCGAGTGTCTTTTCATATTTTGGGATCTTAACAAATTGCTACATCCATTAAAAACGTATACAGCGCTTTTTAGCATGAACACTTCATTTACGTAAAGCCTTAAAATTCCGTTTGACTAATGAACAATTCGGTAGTTGTGCTGTCTTTTGTACCTCACTTTTTTGCAAGTGTGGAATTTGTTGCCGAATCCTTCTTCGTGGCACGATTGTTTTGTCAGTCTCAAGATCACTCTTCTGGCTTGTTTGGTTGCTTACTGTTTTTTTGGCCTCTATAATACATACTTGACCTGTTTACATCATGTTTGGGTGTATTGGCAATTACCATGTTTTTACTATTTGGCCATACTATATAGCAGAACTGCTTTCTTCATTGATTACCCGACGATTTTTGATTAGCAGTCAGGATAAATGCAGTGGTTTATCACAAATCGTATGTATGCCTTATTTTTTATAAAAAAATAAACACCCAAAATGCGAGGGCAAAGGTCAAATGAAGTCTGGCTTTTAAAAACACCGGAGCTAGAAAGTGCTTTAGTACACCTTTTCCACATTCATGTCTCTTAATTTTCGTGGACGATCCATTTACTAGAATTGTACCAAACGTGGCTGGGTGGGACCACTACTAATGTAAGAGTTTTTATTCGTAATAAAAGAATAATGAAATACGTATAATTACCTGAGAAGAACGCTCTCAAGAACCGAGTAAAATCACTTAATTCAAGGCATAAAATGTGGTTGACGAGATTTGTCTTGATGATTGCAGTATGTTGTACCACTGAGCCAGTTTCTAAAGTTTTCTTGAAATTAAATAATTTAATTTAATAACAAATCATGTAGGATTCTACCAAATCTGTGCATTCTAATTGAGTCAGTCAATTGTCGTTCACTTACCTTATTTGTGGTAGTAATCCATGAAATAATTCGGCTAAGATACTTCCCGTGGTGCTGCTAAAAACAACCGAAGCACTTATAAATATTAGCGAGATGGGCGACAGTAGTGATTGAATTTTTTGTGTAATCTTTTACCTCTGTTCGTTATCTCTGCAATTAATTGTGGATATTTGATATTTTGTCAAGCTGATTGTCTATGTACTTGCAACGAATAGAAAACATTACTAAGTCGAATATTATTTAATGTCGAAAGCTTGTTAGGCGTTGACAAGCATGAGGGCAGGTTTGATTAATTGGATTTAATGAAGTGCTATGGCTGTGGGCTACTGTGGGCACCTTTTTAATCTCGATATTGTCTGTCTCATTGTTCCTTCGAGTGTCTATAGAACTGGTGTTTTGATTGAGCCATCGAAAATGTTGTTCAGGAGTAATGCGGTTTAGCAAAAAATGGCTCCAAAAGGCCAATTCTTCGGACCTATGTAGTAATAGTGAACGAATATGAGTCACAGAATTTCAAGCAGTCTTTTCGGTAGATCCGCGAGTCGGATTGCAAAAATCAGCACTACAAACTTCTACCATTGGCCTTTAGAGGAAGTTGGTATACGCGAATGGTAGGTGCAGGGGTATAGAGATCTGGCTGGCTCTGATCAGCTGTACTAATGTTGTCTAGTGAATTCTTTACATTTGCTGTTTTTCTGTGGCAACTAGAAGATTCCAAGAATAATAATCATAGTTCCTGTTCATATTTTTTCGGATAAAACTTTTGAAAATGCTAATCGTGGACGTTCACCCAAATCTCGTGATTTTATTGGTAAAAACTTTTAATAGCAATATCTTTTGTCCTAGGACTGCCCATAGAATAAGTAAAAACCCAACAGTATGTAAACTTATCTTATGGTTTGTTCCTTTTGCCATTTTGATAACAAGTTTTGCCTAAATCATGGTTTTAAACCTTTCACGTAACCGCTATCTTTCGTCGCTATCAGTTACAGTGAACAAAGGATAACTTGCTGGCTAAATTACTGTTAGTTCCTTTGTGGTCTCCGGTCCGTAGTCTTTAACGAAAGGTAGTAACTGTCTGCAGATTTGTCTCTATGCTGCAGGAATCTTCATTGTCTTCGTTCTACAGACGCTTCTTTTACACTCACTGTTTAAAAAGTTAGCATAATACTATTTAATTCCCCATTTAGTTTCCATCGCTTTTTGTTAGAACAGACGCCCCATCCTCGGCCCAGCCACGGATTTTTTTTCTTTGCTGAATGTAATTTAACTGTCGCGGTCACACTCGTTTGGTTTCTTTCGGTGTGTTTTTTTTAAGTTGAGGTTTCATTGTCATTTTTCTACAAAATCTATCCCAAGATCATGCTAGTTGTTCACGCCTCTCTAACCTTTTGCATGTTCTCCTGCCGACCCATTTTAGACGCAAGCCAATTAATCACCACACACATGGTAAAGCTAGCACTAGTTCAAAGCGAATTTGCACAGACTGTTTTTTTTCTTTTAATTAGATCTCGAAACTAAAGATACCCTTTATCCACGTGCCTCCGTCTTCCATAAAAGCGAGGGAAACGTCCTTGAGGAATTTGAAGCAGATGCTCACTGAACATGAGAAGGAAATTTGCGATGCCATTCACGCCGATCTCAAGAAGGTACAAAATTGATCCACTCTTCCGATGTCTTTTTCTAGCCTCGCCAAGAATGTTTGGCTCTTGAAATCCTCCCTTTGAAATTAGAAATCACCAATCAAATTATCAATCTGAAGTCCTGGGCAGGAGAGAAAAGAGTATGTCCGTGTACTTGTGTAGTTCGTATCTTAAATTCAAAATTGTTTACGCTTTAAGACTTCTTGGTTCGTTCATTCTAACCAACTGTTCCCATCGGAATGCGTTGAAATTCTTCACTCTCCAATTTCTGCACTTACGAGAAACAGCTTTGCTATTTTAGCAGAATCCATGGCTATTCCCAAAATATTTTGTTTACACGAACGCCGGAGAAGCAGAAGGCCTCAAATTTGTTCGGCTCTAGCTTCACTGGTCTTCTGGCGTTAATACCTCTAGTATATACTGTGACGTCCTTGTATTCCTACGTATGTACTGTACTTATCACTTCGGACTAGCAACCGTAGTCTGGCCCGCAGTAAAATAGGTATTCAAAATCCTCGCCACAATCTTAAGGCGATTACCGGTTTTTAGCCCTTTCCTTTACTGGCAAGATCCCACATAACAAACCGTCTGTACGTATCTTTGCAACATCTCACGCAGACGAAGTGACCGTCAGGAGTCTCTCCATCCCATCCCTAGTAAGCTCGCTAGTTATTCAACTTGAAGGCAAGCTCAGCGGCACGGGAACATAGCCTCTATCGATGCTTAGATGCTTACCGCTATCGACGTAAAATCACCCACATATTAGAGGCTCTCATTCAGTTTATCATCTCACAATCCTGTCGTGTCACTACGCTTGCCAACCTCGGGAAGCTCCCACACTACGTCAGTTAGTTTTCGTTAAACACAACGCCATTATTGAATCACATTTAAGCAACTCGTTGGCCTGCTGTCCACGCCGCGAAACCCGCCTTTTCAACACCACTGAGGTGTTGTGAAGTGCCTTTCCTGGCGAAGACGACGATTTTCCGATGAACTCGTTGTCCAAAAGTTGTAATTCTGTAACTCGTATTTAGCTCCATCGGACGTTTTTAAGCCTAATGGATACAGCAAGTGTCCAACCACAGCCTTACGGATTGGTTCTTGTCATTGGGGCCTGGAACTACCCAGTGTATCTTTCACTGATGCCTCTTGTTGGAGCTATTGCGGCGGGAAACGCAGTTGTTCTGAAGCCTTCGGAGCTAGCCCCCGAGACGGAGGCTATACTCGTCCAACTGATACCGCAGTACTTGGATGAGGTAGGTACCACACTCTCCGCAAATGAAGTCTTTGATTTCGAATGTAACCAACTACCGTAACTTGACTAGTGAAGATGCCCTCATAAACGAAATACCGGGTCGCTCAAATCAATTAAGTTAGTCTCGATGGCTTTACTTTTCCCTCTCATTTGAAATTTGTCTGGTTTTTCGCTATTACCATGGTTTTATGTTCCGTATAGTTGACTCTAGGTCCTGAACAAATTGAGTTAGGCCTTGCTGTGACGTGTTTATTATTATTGTTGGTTTTACTACTATTATCCATACTGACATTCTGGTGTCTCCTATATGCATTTCGAGGTATCTGAACTGAGATATTTTTGCCTTAGAAATGCTAACTGTTTCAATCCCTGGCATGCTAGAGTCCAAAGCACATAGTTTGTTAGGACCAACCTACGTTTCCGATTCGAATTGTTTCCTTTCAAGTGCGCTGGTCATTTCGTGGTGGGTCGTGCTGTGTGATTTTAAGAGGCCCAGAATAATGTAAAATCCATGTAAAATCTATGGCAAATACTATACAATGATTTTGCTTTCCGTCTATTCCTGTCTTTCAATGAATACAAACTGGACTACTATGTGTTGTCGTTAGAGGCATATTTGTTCTGGGAACGTCAAACGTCAAATACTATTTATAATAATGCACACGCATTAAAAATATGTTCGAAGTGTTGACTCATACGATTGACAGCTCCAGCGCGCAGAATCGCTTACTCCCCAGTTGATAGCTCAGAAAGACCTCTCAGGGAGCGTGCCAAGCCAGCAAGGTACCGGAGGAAGGTAGCTGACGATAAATCAGGCTCAGAATTGCTAATTAGCGTCAGCAGTGTGTCGTGGAGCAACAACACACGTCCCCGCGACGTGGCAATCCCCAACATACAAAATAAGCATCACAAATCGTCTGTTAATCTAAACTTTTTTTTATCAGGGGACACGCTTCGCATCGTTCTTTTTTGAATTAAGTTAGCCGGCCCCGCATGACCTCTTTGATTACAGCCCTTGTTTGTTAAAGTTGATGTCTATTAGTCTAGCTATAGAGCCAACAAGACGACTTTAGGACTCGGTTGTGGTGATTTCGCATTTTACCAACTACTAAGGTGAGTAGGCATGTCGCCTTCTCATTTCGCGAGGAATATTTAGCCTCACACTCGATGTCAGATCTAACGGGTTCCTTTGTAGCGGAGTCCCTTGAACCTAATCACATAGTGATCGTGTGTTGATTCGTCACCTTCTTTCACTAGCGGCCTGTCGAACACAATTATTTCAGGTTCAGGTATCGTCGCCTAATTACACTCAATGCTTTTTTCTCGTAAATCACCATGGAGACCTTTTTTTGCCCCTTTGGGCTATTCTCTGGTTTTCTTCAATGCCATTTAAATACAAGAATCCAGGCCACACTCTCTGGAAGTTTATCCCATGAGGCCAGGTGGACGGTACGAGTCAACAATGTGTTCAGTTATTCAGGTAGAAAAGTTGTCGTGTTACTTCCTTCTTTGAAGACATGTAAGACGCTGCTTAGTCATTAGCCTATTGGGATCATTCATTGAGAGTTTATTACGACAATTTCCCTCCAATATCCGGCACTAGGGTTTCCTGTCAAGGCGTTGAACCGGAGCCATCGCCCAAACTAGGCAGCGTTTGTACCTTGTGGTTATTGATGCTGCAGTGAGCACTACCCTTGGAATAACTCCATCGTTGGGCTTAACCGTGTGACTGCTAACAACTTCTGGTTCGTGACGGATATTTCCATTGAGCAAATGTCTTGATGCATGGATTTGTCTCTTACAGTCTTCATGAGTAACTGGGGTTATTTTCAGTCAGCTGCGATGCAGTGTCTGCTCTTGAGCCACAATTTGGTTTCTAGTCGAGTATAGTTCATTTAGTTTAGTGGGACTGTAGACTTACAACTGTTAGCGTAGACCGGCCAAGGCTGCTTTTCTAGTGACCTTTACGGAAGGGCCATTAATCACTTTGTCGATGACAACCCAATCCATCAATCGTTTCTAATGGAGCTTCTTTCTTAGTATACCCTTGGTGACTCTAAGACCCTTGTCTGCATCCAGACGCGTTGCACTGTCGCTGGTCTTACTTTCACCTGCAATGCGGAGCCGTTTAATCGAAGCGCTTCATGAAACCTCGGAATTTCTTGTCTTGGTAGATCTACGGTGGGTATCTACAACCTATATAATAGGCCTAGTATCGTCACACGAAATGGCACTTTGATCTCGAGTAGTGTAGACATTTAAGTTCCCCTCACCGGAAGCTTGGCCTTTCATTTTCAACAAGTGTGGTTTTCCCGCATGCTTATGTCTGTCTAGTTTGAACAGACATGTCAATGTAATGTCTACCTAAAATCAGTCTCCTTCTAAAGCAAGGCCGAAAAATCGCAAGTGCTGAATTTAACCCGTTTGATCGGACATAATTGGATAACTCTGTGAACAGGATCACTGACAGGCGTCAGTGGGGGGTGTATGGCAATAGCAAGCTAAATCGTGCGATTATTATTTTAGACAATTTGCCAAGTATTTACCGGGGGTGCTGAGGAAACATCCAATCTCCTGGCCACTCAGCGCTTTGATTATATTTTCTACACGGGCGGATGTAACGCAGCCAGGAGCATCCTCTCGCAGGCCGCCAAGCACCTTACTCCTGTCACTCTGGAATTGGGCGGAAAGTGGTAAGCTTTCCATCTCTCTCTGTCTTGTGCTTTGATCGTAGACTTAAGCACGGAGTGGAGGCTCACAGCAGCAATAACAGGGTGCTCAGACTTGCGACTGTCGCGTGCTCGATTTATTCTCTAATCGCTTTTGTGTCTTTTAATTTAATTTCAGAACTTACAATTTTTATTTTTGCCCTTTTTGCGCTGCAGGACTATTCGGTATCGCGTAGTATTATTTTTTATTGCCTTAGTCGAGCAAAGGTTTGCAAATGCTATCAGTTCTCGGGTTGTTTTCACACAGCTCTTGCCTTTCGTTCATAAAAACCCTTTTTTTTCATATGTTGAGATCCAAATATTCCTTCCTACTTCAAATTTAGTTCTTTTCTCGCACACCTGTGAATGCGGTTGTTGAAACGTGGTAGAAAAGGCTGTAACTTGTCCAACGAACACCACTCGGTAGCTTCAGCAATGTGCTATCAGTTGCTCTCTTGCCTTGATCCAAACTTTTTATCAGTTTGATAATAAGCAAAAAAGGAAGCTAGAGAATTTCGCAACAAGGACACGCAGCAAGTTTCTGCGTTGAGCTATATGTTTGTCCATTCACAGCTAGGTAATATTTAGACGCATAACTTGTTCCACCTTTGTTACTCAACATAATTTTCCTTAATCGGAAATAAGTTCAAACGTATTGTCTCAGACCGAATAAGGCGTTGTTAACGACGACGTCAAATATCTCTTTAATAATAATATACCTTCTTATGTCTTATTTGCAAATTGAAGTAAACGCAATTTGTCAAAACCACGTGCAATTTAAGTTTACCCAGCAATCAACAGGCTGGTTTTAGCTTCTCGATGTCTGTTTATTGTCTCTGCATATTCATTGGTCTTAATCAAGCCCCGTCTTCGTGGACACCTCGGCTGATCTGGACATGACCGCGAAGCGTTTAACGTGGGCCAAGTGTGTTAATGCCGGTCAAACCTGTGTGGCCCCCGACTACGTCCTCTGTCACCCAAAAGTTCTCGTACGGTATTTGTTTTTCTTTCCTTTCAAAATATCCTTTGTCATCCTTTATTTTACTCTGGGCTGCATTGCTGTGGGCTCACCTCTAGTTTCATCCGCATGGTGGCTAAAATCAAGGGGAGGTTCAAGAATGGGTTGCAAGCAAGACTCAGGTTCAAATTCGGGAGTGTTCGACCATGGAAAATCCGTTTGTTTTGTTTTTCCCACACATACCAAGGATTTGCACTCCTTTTGCGGTCGTTTGTGGTTTTGTAAGGATTGGATGCAAGGTTTCGGAACACCGAACTACAAGTCTACGTGAGTCACACAGCTTCTCAGAGTACTTCAAACGCATGGGAGTCGGTTTGTGGTGGTCTTGGTGACGACGCTGTGTCTTCTAGAAAGTGTAATTATTGATACAAATGTTCTAGAGTTGGTAATATCATCTTGGTGACCAGCCGTGCGCTGGACAGCCTCGGAAGTTGAAAAATGCGGAAATGTAAGCTCAATTGGACGAAGACTCAACGCAAACACAACAAAAGCTTGCAACTCAGTTAGGAGTCATTCAAACATCTATTTTTGAGCGGTTGGATCACTAAATGGGAAAAATTAAAAAAAAAACTGAAAGTTGGGCGTCACATTAACCGAATGCAACCTAGGTCGACATAAGAACACATGCCTTCCATTATTTGCCCGGCAACAAGGACTTAGTGTAGTAACTTGTGACGGGTGATGAATAGTACATTTTTTGCGAAAATCCCAAACGTAAAAATTAGTGGGTAGATGCTGGGCAGCAACCCAGTACATCGAAACCGAAGCAGGATATCCGCTTGAGGGAGTTTCTCCTGTGCATCTGGTGGGGGCACATGAAAGGTGTACGTTATAATGAAGTCACGGAAACGAGTTTGATGGTGCCTGCTGCACGCCACAGCCGACAGTTGAACAAACTCAGCAAAGAGCTTGATCAGTAACGATTATTTAGTGGGTCAGGAAGCAAGCAAGTCATACTGCTGCTGTTTTATGATAACGCTAGTGATCACGTTGGTTGCGCGACTCAGAAGACCCTCTTAAACTTGCAGTGATCTTCCATGAAACGGGCACGAGTGTCGATTGTTGATTACGGTTGACATTCGAGGTGCTATAAAAGTCTTGGGTGGCCAAGTATGTTCGCTATCATCGGTCTTATCTTATTTCTCGGGCTGTTACGGACTGTCAACTAGCAGGGTTGTAAGGTAGTGCTAAACAAGCGGCTACACTTGGTGACCTCGAAAAACGCAGCCACTGAATTTCGACCTTACGGACGAAACAATATTGCAAATCGTGATTATATTTTATTAAAGGACACGGGCACTATTTACTTATAATGCACTGTACTCGTGGAGCACGACAGAAGACTGATGTCGGGCGGTTCCGAGCTCCACGAACCTTCTATCACTAGTATTTTCGGTTTTTTACTTTTTGTTTTGCACGCCTCAACGCCAAACTAACCCGGGGCCTCACTTTTTCGAAGTGCACAGCGGTCGTTCCATGCTCTAATTGGAATTGGTACATTTGTTTTTAGGACAAATTGATAGAACTGTGCATCTCCTTCGCGAAGGACTTTTTTGGGGAGGATCTCGCGAAGTCGGATGACTTTGGTCGCATTATAAACGAGAGGCATGCTGGGTGAGTTGCTCTTTCCAGATTGGCACAGGTTTCGGTAGTTTTTGGTTTATGTTAGGAATCGCGTATGCACATAATCAGACATTGTAACATGTGAAATTGTGGGCCTTATGCAATTTTCTTAATATCCCACTTAACTGGGGTGGTCCATGTCAAATGCCGATGACATCCCTATTCGTAGGCACGCTTATAGACAACAACACCCATGATCTATGCAGCGCCTTTTCCTCTCGCACTGTGGGTAACTCGACACCTTCTTTTCAGACGCCTCTGCGGTCTTCTTAAGAACACAAAAGGCCAAGTCGTCTTTGGAGGACGGACTGATCTCACTGACAAATTTGTTGAATTCACCATTTTGAAGAATGTCCCTCATGATGACGTTCTGTTGAAAGACGAGGTAATTTTTACATTAACACCTTCGTGGTGTCGTAGTTAAGGACATTTGTTGCTTGCTTTATCAATTTAACGCAATTATGTCATGTTGGGTTCTCAGTTGACGCGTAGTTATCTCTTGTTTCAGCCAAGCATGATCTATCAAGTGATCGCGGATTATTCGGTGCCACTAATCTTAGGTTCAATTTCCGCAAGGTGGTGTTAGACTTGGATAATTGGCTGAAATTGTTCGTTATGAAACTGGGAACAAATTCGAGAAAGCTGTATGGAGTGGTTTCATTATATCGGTCAATGTCTTTATTAATTAATCTTGTTCGAACAAATTGAATGTGGCACAGTCCAGCAATTGTCCAGGTATGGACCCCAAAGTCGCGTGATTAGAATGAAGGGCAAGGCCGTTCATTCCAGAAATTTTTAAGGTCCAGCTTGCTACGTAAGGGACCATGGGATATCTGCTGGTGGGTATTCAAACCCGGTTCATAATTTTAATCTAGAAGCTTGCAAAAAACCAAAAGCTAAAATCGCCACTAAAATGTCTTAACTACATTCACTTGCAAGTACTTTTCTCTCTAGATCTTTGGACCCATCCTTCCGATCATCACAGTCCTGTCTTACCAAGAAGCCATCGACTTCGTGAGGGTCAGGTCGGTAGTAGTGTGTTTGTGAGGTCATTCTGTTTCACATTGCGTTCTTTAAGCTGTGTTCATCACTGCATGCATGACTGACCAATCGCGTTGTTGGATCAAACTTAAACAATATCTGGCTGCAAAGTTAAAAACGACAGCCCTGAAATTATCAGCAGTTCGATCAATGAACGTTTTGCCCAACGAGTTTGGGTTAAAAGACCTAGGCTGACTTTTCTGCGCCCGCCTTTTTCAGGGAGAAGCCACTGGCAATCTACGTCTACTCTTCAGCCAAGGACGTGTGTGATGCATGGAAAAATCAGACGTCTTCGGGATCACTAGTCTTTAACGAATGTATAATGCAGCTCTCAGGTGAGTTGCAGTGTCGTTAACGAGCGCCAGTCAACGACGTATTTTACTTCGAACTGGATGTCGTTTCACAAGAATTCACACTTGTGCGGTCACGCTCTGCTGCTTCGAAGGCATTTGTTGAAGACTTTTACCACACGAAGTAATCCGGGAAGAAAATATGTCCAGAGATGAGATGCACGACCGTTTACTAGATAGCTCAACCGAGTTGTGTCGTGTTTACTGCTACGGTTGAGTGGACATGTAAAAATAACCACACGCGTCTGTGAGGTCACATGAATAAAGCGGGTGGTGGTGGCGGTACATGCAGAGGGGTTAATGAACTGGCGGCCTCACGTGACTGATGGGCACGCCGTGAAAAGGGGAGGCGTGTGTTGGAAGCTGCGACGACTGGGTTATTGGAAGTGAATCAGCACGATTCATTACACATTAATGGCCCGAATACTATTTTCCCAGTTCTGCATCTGTTAACCTCGAGTGGAGATTCGCCAGGGGCTAAGGAAACATGTCTGAGGTATCTTTGTTTGGTTAAAACTATTGGTGATTGTAAAAAAAAGACACTCCTATGCTCACTTAAACGTTGGTAATTTAAAAATAGCCTACTCTAGTCGAGCATATTGTGGTTCAGCTTACGGGAACTGGCCCCATCCTGAAGTCAGTCAAGTCTTGTGTTCCCGTGCAGTGGAATTTTCCTGGCTGCCGGTAAAATGTCTCACACAGACGTCACAGATGACTGTCGAGTGGGACGCGGAGAAGTTGACTCCAATATGCGAATGTGTTGTACGCCACGTGTGGAGTTGTGGGTCTTCTAACTAGCCACATTTAAAGCATTAGATTACCAAGACGCAACTCCGCGAATTAGCATGTGTGTGCGTGTGTGTGTGTGTCAATGTTGTCAGTGATTGAGAAAGCATCTAGCTTATTGACTTCGGTAGACCGATCGCAGCGAGAAGTTCAGAGGACCATAGTTCCCATGCCGTATTTTTTGTCAATGCTAAAACGTCGACTCAATGTAATATATCTATTTTTCAAAAGTCCACTTTCCATAAATTGGTCCCGTGAATGCATAATTACAATTTCCGCTGGCACCACTTGCCCCACCCAACTCCACCGCTTCCAGACATACTTTTTCGCGTCAGTAGTGGTTTCGCGTTTTCTTTTTAGGGCAATCAGGCTTTTTCTCAACTTAACCCAAGAGGCCATGTGGTCACTGTCGACAAGGGGCGTTCCTCGATGTCGACAGTTGTCGAGTGTTGCCTGCAAGCGCGTAAACACAAATTTTGAACTAGCTCTAAGATGTGTTTTTGGAAAAATAGTTTCTAGCCTCTTTTGCCAGATCCCATCATTTTAGTGCTTGATACGAGGTTTATTAAATAAAATGGAAAAAAGATGGAAGAAGCATTTTAGGCACGATAAAACAGGCATAGGTGTGTTCGTTACACCAAAAGCGCCGTTTCACATGAAACCAAGTACAACAACTTAAAAAATTTTGCTCTGCCTTATGAATTATTTCCCTGTAGTGCCAAACCTGCCCTTCGGAGGCGTTGGGAATTCCGGCATGGGACGGTATCTCGGAGAGGCGTCCGTAGCTACATTTTCAAACCCCCGATCCATTCTCGATAAGTCAACTTCGGAATTGTTGAATAACAAGTAAGATTCAGCACCTTTTTCCTCTTCTTGCAAACAGCATAGCGGAATCTTCTGATTGAAATTCCCTTGCCTTGTTCCACGCGCAAAAGGCACCTTTTTCGGCCGTGCAAAATTGGTTTAAGAAAGACTGACCGTAATAATGCATTGTGCCCAGTTTTAGCCCTTAAGTTTTGTTAATGAATTTATGCGGTGATCTAATAGCTTGGTCATCGGAGTGTCTCCTGCATTCGACAGTCGCCTCTCATCCCTACCGTTTGAATCTATCATCTAAACTGGACATATTGAAGTTCCAGCAATTGAGTCGTTTAGCGAGATTTGCTTTTCGTAAAAGCCAGAAGTAGAGTCAATATGACCCAATTCTCAGTTCCTTTGATAATCACCTGTGCTGCCAGGCGCTATTTTAACAACATTACCTGCCTTCTGGGTTTGCATATGCTCCAACGTGATCCATTTTTTACCCTCACCCCTCATGCTCAATCTACCGTGTGTGTGTGTGTGTGTTTGTGCGTATCAAGTTTCATTAGAAAAACCGCTTCTCTGAGCGGTGTCCCTGTCCTCTCATCCCATAGAGGTCCAGTGAATTGACGTCTGGTCTTCTACCCGCATGTTACTGATTGCTTTGGACCGACTTACATTGCATGACATTCCCGATATTATAGAGGCACTCCAAAAAGTGATCTAGACCCGACTTCAAAATGCAGTCACGGGGGAGGTAGTAACAAGTATCGAAAAATTGTCTCGTCGGAAAGATTAACGGCGACGGCGTCGTGTGCTTCTCATGGGTGTGGTCACTGGAAGAAGCACTGTAGAGTTGTCGCAAAATTCGTGCCTGATAAGTCAAGCTCTGATTGGTGATTAGTAAAGGATTGGTGATTAGTAAAGGATTGAGATCAGGTGACCGCTCGTGAATGTGGGGAACTTGAAACAAGGTGATTTTTTAAGTATTCCTAGTGCTGTGTTCAACGTCGAATGTTTTCGAAACCACTGAGATTAGATTAACCAGACATAATTTTTATGATCACATGGCTTCTTACCATTTGGATTTCGATGTTTGATGCGAAATGCATAGCGTTAGTTTCTCTTGTTAACGCTCATTTGACGATTTAACCTTGGAAATGCAATTAACCGAACTAAATTCTACCGTGAAATTCATGATGATTGTATGCTCTCCTTACCCCAGTCGCACCGTCTAATTTATTTTGCTGTTTTTTTTTGTAGATTCCGCTACCCACCTCACACTGAAAGTCACGAGAATTGGGTTCGTTGGGGTCTGTCGAAAAGGGAATCTTACTGCAACATCTTATAGAATTCCTGATGGATTTAATTTGACATATTCTTGAGAACTTCAAACTCTTATCCTGAACTGTTTGTACCACTGACTTCAGTACTTCATACTTGCGTTTTTTTGATACATTTAGAAATGATAATTTTGTATCATGACATTATTTTAACAATACACAGGACGAAGTACTCAGAAAATAAATGAGCCTGAAACGACTGTCTTTTAACAGTTTATTGCATCATCAAGAGAGTGTTGGTCATTCGTGACAAAACATAGTTTCAAAGATTTTCAAACCTTGCTATGTGTGCAATTTATTCGGGATGTGCCGGTTAGCTGATTGTGGTTTCTGCACATTAAAGATTCACATTTGTGAAGTCCGCCATGTTTATTTTATTATACCGTCTTTGAGTTGTTATTATTAAAGTATTTCAAACTGTCTTAATAATTCATGCTGTTAATTTTAATCTACGAGTAACTGCTTTCTTTAGTGTTAATCCGAAGCTCACTAGCGTTGTCTCTGTTACACTGCGCTGATATACAAAATTGTGTAGATCTGGTGACTATGAGATGCACAGGCGCGTATCTTGTCGAAATTTCGGAAGTTCTTTGTTGAACCTAAAGTACATTTTTTTGGAGTGAACCATGCTGCTGCCCGCGTTTAATAGTATAGATGGTAAAAATTACGGCAATTTCCAGTTCATATAGATTGCAAGTATATTTACTCAACTACACAAGTTGGATTGGAATGTACGGCAGTGTAGATCTAGGCTGTCATCCGTTTGCCATGATTTATAATGAAAATAGTAGCAATCCTATTCAAACTTGGTTATAGTTAAGCGTAAATGAAAGGAGTGTATCTCAAAATATAACAAATCATGCCAAACACTTCTTCAGATTTGACCAAATTAGGGAAATTTTTAGTAAATAAGTGATGTGCATGGGAAGTTTGCTAAAACAGTTATTGTAGACAGGTGAATGAAGTTAAAAATCCATTAGAAACTACTAGATAATAGGGAATAAAATAGATACCTAAATTCGATAAATGCGTGAATGAACAAAAGCATTGTAAGCAGCTAAAACGAATAACTAACTAATTTAATTTCATGAAATATGCATAATTAAGCTACATATGTAACTGCTAAGTTATTAGCAAAATCGGGGTACGCAGCATTCCATGAAATGCTGTATATGAGCGCCTCAAGGACATCATGAATTTCCTGTTACAAATTGTAGAAGCTATTTTGTTGATTAAAAAATCACCCTTAAAAAAGTAAACTCTCATTGCTATCAAAAAATGGAATCAAGGAAATTTTCCTCTAAATATATAATTTCTTTAGCAATAAAAATGTTTGGTTCAACACAACTTATTTATGACTAACAGCGACATATGTTTTCAATAAATCACAACCCTTAATTATGTAGCAGATGAAAGCCATGCACTAGCCAAGACACTTAAACATAAAGTAATAATCAAATATCCATCTCACGATTTTTATTCAGCTTCATAATTTTCTACAAAAATCTAGCATCATGTCTGCTTATGCCTGATTCAATTTCCATCTTTGAAATATTCTGCTATTCTGATCACCTACAAAAAGAATGTATACATAGCAAGAACTGCAGCATGAAAGAAGGCATTATAAGTTATTGATGAAAAAACAAATGTAGTTGTTATATAGCATCGATGTGGATGTTGCGATACCGTGCGGGAATTATGGATTCCACTTCGCAATGTCTCTCAATAGGTCAGAAGATGATGTGTTTGAACTATTGGGCCATGCATCAGTTGATACAGAAGCATTTTTTTCGCACGCACAGATTCTTATTGTAAACGATGATCTGGTTGACTCAGACACCTATCTTCTTGAAATTTCTCCAGCATTAGCTGACCAAATTCTCCTATCTTCTGACGAACATATAGCTGACATTAAATCTGGGGTGACTGGTCGCCATAAAAATGCTGCCTTCTTCTGTACATCTGCGACAACGCAAAGGATGATGGAGACAGAAACATCTAATTCTCTCCTTTTATTACCGAACTTAAAGATTCCGGGTAATCCGCCTGAAGATTTCTGGCAGGTAGAGAAACCTAGGGTGACTAAATGTAATGTTGCAGCCGTGAAATCTGTTTATTTGGAGACTTCAACGATTAGAGCCCCTAGTCTACGACACCTCAAGCAGGTTCTGTCACCTTCGACCTTTGCCGGTCACATTGAGGAAGATGACCAGGATGTTGATGCAGACGCTAGTTTCTATACATTCGAGCATCTGCAACAAATCGTGCCCTGTAGCCCCACCGAATTGTTATACGCTATGGACAGATTGAATGTCATGACATGGAATGGTTACTGCAGAATATTTCAATTAGACTACATCAGTAGCGTAAGTTTTCGTTATTCTCGAGTACATAATCCATTTTTGATGTTTACAATGTATACTGTGTGATATGTAGATAAAGATGCTTAATTTTTTGCCTTAGGCAGATGATTTTGGAGCTTATGTTCTCGCTTAGGTTTTGCAATCAATTTTTGACTTGGCCGACGAGCAGGCTTTGGACTGGCCTGTAATCGGCTTCCCGGATCCTTCAGATATTGTAACACGGCTGGAAATTCTATACCCACCTTCGGTTACCCGCCAAGTAATCCAACGGTTTTTCTATCGCAAGAGACACACAAAAAGCGAAGCTGTTTTTCCAAGAACTGGGAAAATCTGTCGTCTCATAGGTGAGCATCTACTTTCAGTCACAAGGAAGTTCTCCCTCCAAGACTTCCTTTCTGTGTGGTGTGCTACTGTTCCCCACGGCATGCAACCGCTTTTGCGACGACACCTCACATCTGTTGGTCGTGCTTACTGTGAAAATTCAGCCATTGCTGAACAGGAGACTATCACATTCATGCCAAGTGAGGATTTGCCCGACGAATCCGTAGAAGCACGCCTAGGGGCACTTTTCGATCGACGAAAAGTCTGGCCTGAATCTGAACTTGCAGGATATATATCTGATTTAGTCGTTGGTATGCCTGTCGATAAGCCTAATTGCCTGCCACTGAATCAGAGAGCTGAGGAGGAGCTTATAGTTCTTTCTGAGTCGGAGGACGAAGATGAGAATTTGTTGTTGGACGAGGGGAAGGATCCGGCCAAACTCGCTCTCGATAGCCCATTGCCAGTTCCGGCTTCATTGGGCACGCTACTTAATCACTGCTGCCGTATGAGCCAGGTTGGTGGCGAAAGATGTTATATGGAAAAATATCCGAGGAGATAATGTGACAACTTTTTGTTGAAAAATTTCTCGTTTTTGAATATTTGAGATTTTTGTGATATGGTTGCATGTGGTCCAGCATTTTTCGTTTTAGGAAAATACTGCTAACTAAAGTAAACCGTGGTTTTTTCAGCATGCTGTCTCTGGTTGATTTGTGTTGCCGTAAGTTGGCCGAAAAATACTGCGACATCGAATCACTATGTGGCATTCCTGAGCATCTGGGCAAACGTATATTAAAGGTGATCTTCACAAATACACTTGGGTCGCCCTTCGTCCTAAAATTGAGTCACTTGATTAAGATATTTTCAGAAGCCTATGGGGCTTCTTTTCTATCAGCCTGTCGTGTGACTCCGTCAGAATCATTGCCGTTATGGGTTACAGCACTTGTCAGTAGCTGTAGTCTCTCCTCACTTTGCCTCGACCGTTGTGAGTTGGGCACTCGATTTGTGGACGTATTACCAATAATAGGAGCCTGTCAAACGCTCAAACTCTTATCTCTCCGCTACAACTCTCTCACAAATGACTCGATTCGTTCAATAAGTGCTTATGGAAGGTACCACAAGAAAGGGCAACTTACTATAATAGATGTCTCAGGTAATGGCTTCCTGGACCGAAAGGCCGTAACACTGCTTACCGCAATGCATTCGATAAGGCTTATTTATCTCAATGACACAGGTGCAGCGGTAGGTTATTTGTTATTCTCATTAGTTTTTCGTTGATTTTTATGCACCTGTTTCCATGACTTTATGCTTCATTACATTCTATAGGTATGTGATTAAGTTTAATCGTTATGGACGTCCTTAATTTTTCAACGCCGCGCTCTGACTATTTACTTGTCACACGAATAGTACAAAGATCGCCCACTTATGTTCTATACTTTCTAGACACGGTTAACCCTTTGCCCACTGTATTCTAGTCAACTAAATAGTTTAATGATCGCCGATGAAATGGGTTTTGTTGCTTGGTGGTTCTCCGCTTTATTTTGAAATAGAAATCACACCATACTAATGTGTAACGTTATTATTTATGCATTCACTTTTTATTTAGTTATCACAATTTCCTTTACCGAATGCTTGGAAAAGTCACTCAATCAGTGAACGTGCTGGTCCCCGAACTATATCGCCACAGGGTTGGTTGTGGGAGTTTTGTGATAAAATCTACTCACGGGAAATTCCGGTTCTTCAAAATGCGTACGAATCAAACTTTGTCATGTGGAGATGAATATTTACACGAAGTACCACTCTGCGATAATGAGACCATTAGTCCCCCACATAATTCTCATAGTTGTGCTTTAAATTCACATTTTCGCCTCATTTGCAATTCAAAATATACACAGACATCTTGTCGGACGTTTTATTCTGAAGTCACCTACGGCGCTGGGGTAACTTAATTTGAAGCCAGAAATACCATAGGTTAGTTACCAGTTAATGCCGTCTGTCGTTTCTCGAAGCAGTTGGGCACTCTTTTGCAATGAAGTGATCTCTGTATCATCAAGTGCGATGTTGACCACACTCACAACGCCTGTAGCACCAATGACGCAAGGGAGGCTGAGGAAGGCATCATCAGTTATTCCATATAAACCCTAAAATAATATAAGTAGGATAGTGTATGAGCTCATAAATCATTATGCAATGAGGGATATTCACGTTACAGTGCAAGAATGGGAAAGCAATGATGTGTGACACGTGCCTTTGCCTTACTAATGTCGAGGTGCTACGAATGTTACATTCTTAGATTCTGAGAGGAACTTTTTATGATTAACAAAATCATAAATATCATCATCTGGGGTAATATTTAACACAGAATAGCCTCATTACCTTTACAGCAGTTGTGACTGGTAGGACCATGTTCTTGTTATTGAGAATAACGTCCACGATTTTCCATGTCGAGACACCGATAGCCCATGCAGTGTAGCCTTTGCAATTGATAATTTCGTAAGCTCTAGAAATAATTAAACAATTATGCCTTACGCTCCAACTGTGTCCTTGTGAATTTGGCCAAAATTTTCAACGTCACTGTCAGTACCAACAGCAGGATTTATGGAGTACAAATTGCATCCTCCAATTGAAACTTTGCTCCAAACGGCGACTGAAGAGTCACCGTGCTCACCAATTATCACTCCATGAACAGATTGAGGATCGACGTTAAATTTTTGACCGAGAAAGAATCGGAACCTAGCAGAATCAAGTGTAGTGCCGCTGCCAAGTACACGGTTGCGAGGAAACCCACTAAGTTTCCAAGTGACGAATGTCATAATGTCGACAGGATTCGAAACCACTAGTAACACGGCGTCTGGACTGTGCTTTACAAGTCCTGGGACAAGATCTAAAACAGGACAGGATCAAGTGCTATTTAAATACTAGCGGCGTGTCTGCCTTAAATTTAAATAAATTGGGATTAAAAGAATGTGCTTAAGGCGTCACTTAAATTTGGCTAAGCAATTGTTTAGACGCTCACTTAATAATCCATTAAATTTCTTAATATTAGCTAAGTGAACGCAATTTCAAATACAGACACCACAATTAGCGCTAAACTTTAGACCACAATCGGTGTTGTAAAGTGGGATTCTTATGCAACAAGTGCTTAAATTTTATATTTATGTAGGCATTAAAATATATGAACGAGGCAATGGGTGGGATAGAAAAACGATGCCTTTAGTTCAACATACTTTTGTAAATGTCTGTATTCCTTTGGACCAAATTCAGGCGCGATTCTCCGGGTTGCTGTCGGACGCCAGCAGTGATAACAATAATGTCGGATCCAGCAGAAAGTGCATAATCTCAAAGCAAGTAAATAAAGGGATAAAACTGATATTACCACTCCCCCCACGGATTTTACAGTTGTTCAGATAAGGTTGCGACTGTTCCATATCCATAACTTCTCCTTTTACTTTTGCGGTCATGATATCAATAAGGCACAATTCATTAACACATTCCTAGCGTTTAAATTTTTAAGTGGTAGTACCTTCATCATTATTGCAAAGGCACAAGCCATACCGACAGAGCCAGTCCCGACAATGGTAACCTTAGCCCTAGGCTTTACACAGTAACAGTTGGGCGTAACAGGGTGTAGGACAGAGGATAAGACACCGGACGTAGTCTGAAATATAAAATGCATATAGGATACTTACCAGGGGCATTGTTCTGGAGAGCTTGGATACCAAGTAATTAAATTAACGCCAAGTGCCGTTGTTAACTGGACTTTAGTTTTCAAGTAGTTAATTAAAACACGTGTTTAGGCCGAAAACCTATGAATTTCTATATAAAGTAAATGAGAATTTCTTTCATAAATTATGTAAAGTAGAAGCATCACGATCTATGTTGTCCAGTTAATCAATTATTTTTGTTATCCATTTCAAAAAAAACTGCACTTCAAAAAATCACATTTTTTTGCGACTAAATTAAAGCGTACACTGTTTGCACCATATCTTGCAATATCGGAATAAAAATAATGTAATTATCCCTGAGAATGCTACTTTTGTTCAAGGTAAAATCCTATTTTAAACGTAGCAATCACTTCAAACTCTATTCAGGAATTAAATTACTGAACTACATTGGCATCATTATTATTGTTGTTATTTAATTATCATCGATTTGCACTAGTCATATCTTTATGTACCATAGCATTTATTAGCGTCTCTAGTTCTGCTTACTTGTTAATAACGTGATATCGATGTACAAAGGGCCAGCAAATCGCCTAGTTCTCAATGCGTTCCATATTTCCGTTTTTATGGTGGTTTGGGGTTTCAGAAAAAGTTTTCCAGAGGACAAGACTGTTTGATATTATGCCTTTTTAGGATACTAATAAACCTACTGAACAGCATACAATTTGTTTAATTACATTTCGGGATAAAATCAATATACTATTTTGTAATAACATTTCACCCATTTTAAATGATACCAACCAAGATTATTTTTAAATAATCCTTTACTTTTAAGTAACCCATTTTCGTCTACCTTATTTAAAAGAAGACTTGTTATAGCCACATATATCGAGTCTGCAACTTAATTAATTTCTTTGTACGGGCGCAAATTCAGTAAGTTCTAAATAAACTTTAATATTGATTTCGAGGAAAAGACATGGCTTTCTTACATTTTTTTCCGATTCTCTAAATGGGTCAGCAAAGAGGTGCTCCTGTCGTACCTAACAAAGATTTGATCCACTGGTGGCACCAGAATCTTTATTATTGAATCGTCTGGTTAATATTACAAATATTGCAATCAATTATTTAAAGTAAATCATTTACGTTGAACAGGATACTCCCATACACCTTTAATCAAAAAGGAAATTTGGTGTTTATTGTGCATTTCTTATCATTTAAAAGTAAGAGTTTTTAAGGTTTTAGGATATGTTGATGCATAAAGACTCGTGAATAAAAAGTAAGTTATGTAAAGACGTCTCGTCTAGCTCTGCTCAAACAATTACAGTACAAACAGAATTACATCACTAATTGTAAAACGTACTAGTCAGTGTGAGCAACTTACTATGGAACGTAGATCACCAAAGCGGCGAAAACACGTTATTGCAGTCATAATTATTTTGCGCTACTAAAGAATTTATGTCGAAATTTACTTACCGTTATTTGGTTTCACATCGGTGAATTGTAGTATCAGAGTTTTAAAAAAATTCCGTTTTTTGCCTTCAACAATTAATGTTTAGGCAGTCGAAATGGGACATGCCTTGATTGGTCTGTGAAAGCAAATATTTAAGTGCCACTCGATGAGGAAATCACCAAGGTTTCGATAAACGCTTTGTCAAACGGTGTGAGGTTAATGCCGTTTAGAATACATTAATTTGCTAGATGTACGGAAGATTATAGATAGGATGTATCATGTCAGTCTCACAACTATCTTTCCCTAATTTAATTTATTAAAACCATTTCGGTTGTTTGAATGAGTCTCGGCTCAGGACATAAATGCAAAACGTGAACACTGTACGTTAGCTCGCCATCGATCTCATTTGACTGGAACGTCTTGATTATACTGTGCTTTACCAAAGCCGTCAGTTACGCATATGTAATCAGATTTAATTTAAGGCATTTATCTGATGCATTGGAACTGAGGGATGTTTAAAAGCTAAAGCATGATCATTTTCAAGAAAATTTTATACCTTTTCAATTACCCCTTTGCATTTTATTGAATTGTCTTCCCATGATTAACACTAAAGCTTACAAAGTATTTGCTTCATTAATTATTATCACTTAACCCGCCGAGATCTTAAATATCTAATAGTCGCAGACACGGAAGTGACTACTAACACACATTTTAATTATAATGATGTTAATTAGCTCAAAATTCTCGTTATATAAACTGCACCTTCCAGTGGGATGGCGAAAATAAGTTTTAAAAAGCTCAATAGCGTTCTCAAAGATTTTCAATTATTAAATATTTTATAACTTTCAACCTCAACTAAAATGCACCTGTAGCATTAATGTTAATAATTTTTGGATATCATGTCATAGTTTTCTGAATTTAAATTTTAGTCTAATTCGAACCAAAGCCACTAATTTTTTGCTAAATGTTTGGAATAAATTCAAATTGGTCTAAATATTAATTTTTTAAACGTAGAAAATGAAAATCTAACGAAGTAACCAAAATTGCATTTTTATTTGTGCTTTCCAAAGTAAAAAAAACTTCTAAATTAAATCATATTTGTCATAAAAGAAAAGGTCAAAAACGAGGTTTACACGCCTTGTATATTTCTGTCTCCAAAGTCTGAATCACACCACCAACGAAGGTTAGGTAAGTCAACCCTATCCAATGCTTTGGCCCTCTAATGCCAATAAGCACCTTATTGATGTAGCATCTCCCAAGCCCACACACAGGCCCCTCAAATGAAGCAAGAAACACTAGGTTTCATCTGAGTCTATCATAGATAGCTCTGTAGTGATTGACGTCCATTTTAAGCAATCATGTTTGATTAAATAGAAATTCACCTCATCTCTCAGTCGCCTGTACAACTTAAGGATATGATTCCTTGCTGTGGGGATTCTGAAGACTGCATGCCAATGGAAGCCTGAAGAATTTGTTTGTCGGTTTCACTGCTATTTCATCGACTCAATCAAAACTTTGATTATAAGTGGTGGGAAGAACACAGCTGACTCACGTCGCTCGTGTTGGCGTTGTTTTCGCTTCCAGCGGTTGGATATCAAACAAAATAAATTAATTAGGAATTCTGAACTTTGAACATCGCTACCGCTTTAAAACAAGGCTTTTTATTCCGTTTCAAATAATCACACGTCTCATTGAATTAATTAAAAAATTGCCAAGTTACATTTGCGATGCTCGCATTCTTTCAGAAACGTCACTTGTTCACCGCCAAAAAACAGTCTAGGACGAAATGGTAACAGTGAAAGATGTTTTTCACTTCACTAATGAGTATAATTAAGCCGAACTAACAAGCAAACACAACTTTTCACCCCAAAAACCCACCAGAAACGGCTGAGAATTTTTCCCAAGACTTGCTTTTTGCCCCACTAGCCCATTCTTATAAAAAACCCATACCTTGATCTAATAGGTGACGCAGCATCCCAGGGAAAACACAAGAAATGTTTTACTTCCGGGATTAATTGGTGACGGGACAAAGGTGTCAGCATGTTCTGATAGCCTACAATGTCGCCGTCAATGTGTGATATGACCCAACGAGAGAGAATGATTGCTACGTTTCTGCAATTAGAAGCCCAATTTACTTCTCAAAATAGCTGAAGTTTTTAAGGTGTATTCAGCCTTCATTGCTAAGGTACATTTGAAATGCCTAGTAAAGTCTTACTGCTGTGGCGCATAACAGCTGCCTCGTTCATGCCTAATGACTTTGAAATTAATACAAGTTTATCTGCATTGCCACAGAAAGTTTTTTTCGCTGCTTAAGATTTCTCTTGTACATTAATTAGCATTTTGCAATCAGATTAATGTTTTGGAATGAAGCTACAATGCCATCTAAGACTAATTTTTTTATTATTTTATTTAAAGTATAATATGAAAGTCTCTAATCTGTCCCAATACGTGGCAAAGAGGTTCGATTTTGTATAGTTGGTAGTGTGTACACATGTGGCTCCGTTTCGGACAGTATTCAACAAATATAGCAAACTTTTGTTGTTCTTACTCCTGCATTATCTTAGGCCCGTTGACCTTCAGACTGGACTTAAAAATGATTGCTTAGAAGCTAAGACATGCTGTTCAAAACAGCCTCAAGGACGCAACTACAGTCTAAAGGCTTAAGGGTAACATTATGCCTGGCCTGATGCCTTGTCCTTTAAAATGCAACCCGTAAACGTCGTATCTGATGTGCAGATTTTTAAATTTCCCTAAGTCTTCATGGCTGTGGTTAATATTTCAGTTGTCAAGACTGGAAGCGAATGCATCTTATACCAGTAGCCAATTTAGGCGATTTTAAGGCAACCAAAATCGTGCCTACATCTTGCATTTTCTACTTTGAGCACTTTCACATACTGTTGTGCTTCATATTTGTTCCCTTGTCTGCATGCAGCTGAACATTAATTTTTGCTATAAATTGTGCTATATTTTTAACGTCTACACCCAAAAAATCAACGGAATGGATAATAGTAGGCTCCCAATTTGGCCGTGTGATAAATACCATGCAGTAATACCAAATGTCTCGCTCTTTCAGCCTCCAGGTAGCGGCATTGAAAAAAATTAATTTCTGACCTTTTGATCTTGTCTTGTGTGTGCCCGCAAATGGAGCTGCTCAAATGATTTAACAATTAATTCTACCGTCAATCGTGACAAAACCAAACAGCCGAAAATTGATAACCCACGACATCCTGTAAACAGCGCAGCAGGTCGACCATGGGAATTGGGTATTTGGGAAAAAGACATCAGCAAAAACTGTCTCAAGGGAACGCTGATGCTCCGGTGGCAATTCTCATGATCAGTTCTAATAAAACACCAGTACAAGCTGATGAACGAATTTATTCGTGTTGAATGATATATAGTACCAAGACTGCATGGAGCGTTTGGCTGGGTTTATAAAAACCTGTCAATTTGTCATTTTTCTAGTTCGCCGTCTGCAGTACGTAAAATTTGATGATCCCGCTCTGAATTAATAAAGGGTTCTGGGGGCAAATATCTTCATTCTCAGGTAACTTTTTACAAGTTGAGTGAATGACACGAAAATGGAATTGTTTTTAATCTTCATTTTCAGTTAGATTAATATAACTTATCAGCCAGTGTAATAAGCATTCAGGTGAAGCGTTAAGTAGATGGTTGCGAATTGCTTATTTTGGTTGAAAATTTCCATGGTTTTGGTAAACTGAGAAGGACTAAATAACAGAATGGGGCACTATACATGCTCTTCACTAGAGTACAGGTCTCTCACTAATTAACTAGCCTAAATGCGGAAGTAAAGAGCACTTGGATTACATTCCTAGACACAGAAGCTGTTCTTTACACTGCCTATTCCATCGCAGCACCCGATGTATGTTAATACCACAGTGCCTTCGTCTCACCTACAATCGACAGGAAGCTAACGACATTCATAGTGAATTTTAGAGCACTGTGTTCGAGAAGACATCGAATCACTTACATGCGCAACTGAAAAGGACGACAAGTTAAATATGTGCTAGAATCATTTCGAAAGACATTTAGGTTAACATAGCCGTTAGCAATTCAGGCTTAAACGAATATCTCATTTTTGTGACCAGCACAGTTTGTTGATCTTTAAAGCGAATGATTTACTAATTTCTCTCTATGCATGATTCAGTGCTTTTTACATGCATGTTTAGTATGTCTAAAGCAGGAAACTTAGTTTATCGGAAACGCTCTACAAAAAACAACAAATTTCATCTACCAAAATCTCAAAAGATCACAACCCAGGAGGATATAAAGAAGGATTTTGGAAACGATATTCCCATCATATAAGAGACTACCAAATGAAAATAGCTAAAAATCAGCATAGCATAATCCAAGCACTCAGATCTAAAAATTGGTTAAGGCAAACATAATTTTGAGCTACTCAAAATAAAAATTAAGGATCACTATGAATCGAGGATTTTGATGTAATTGTTAAGCGAAACATGGCGTGTCTGAAAGATCACGTCTTAACAGCAATTCAGTGTAGCAAAGCATATTTAATGAAACAAGATTTCGTTCGTGTCGAAAAGGTTGATTGACACCTGATGACTTGGAAAATTGCATCCCTCAAACAATGCCCGGTAGGTTCACGAAGACATCTAGTCTCATCACTAATGTCGTGAGTTTAATCTGCACTTAGAGGCATGTACGGCACCCCACGTGACTGCTCCCAACGCAAACACTAACTCAAAACACGCACGTGCAGCTGCCGCGACCTCACCTAACCAACCCATTTCAACTCTATTGGGCACAAGGAATTGAGTCATCAGTCAAAGCAGAGTATTCCAACTTCCACAGAGCCGGTTCCCACACCTTGCTCAATGAACTTGGTCAACTGCATTTTAATTCAACACACCACTCTCGCAACAACCGGCGTGATCTATCAAACACGAGAAATCAAGACATCCACAGAACTCCACACCACACCTTGCCAAATTAATGCGCATTCCAGACGCTATGCACCGCGTACAACGAAATGGTCAGGAGACGAGGTCTTCTGTGTGCTACTTTTGCCTAGATCGAACAAAACAACTAGGGACTATGCAATGCTCCGCTATTGTGTCCATGTCAAGGTGAGAATTTACCCACGATTGGCAAGTGCAACTATAGGAGGGTGAGCGTTCGAGTCTTCCGCCCTTGCCATTCTAACCACCGTTGGTGACAACGTGTAGCACGAGATCCACTGTGGATAGACTACAGTCTGCGTGGAGACTGCTCGACACCACTGGTCCTTCGGGTTCGACAACAGTTAGAAAGGTGCTGCATATTGTGTGCGCTGCACCGACGCATCTTGATGGCAGACAAAGTGCACCAGCATTAGGGTTGTTCGTCAGAGAACCACGGAGCACACTGAAGTCGACACGAAAGTTTTGGCTAAATACTTGCGGCGACTCCCTTAAACACCGACTCATTAAGTGGAGTCTGCTGGCAGACCTGCATTAAGAAGGCACTCATGTTTACCCCTTTTAATGCTAATTGCATCTCCGACGCAGAATGTAGTTACAACTCACAGGGCCTGGCCCAGCTCGCCTGAGAGCCGCGTCGCACTCCATTACGCTGTCCATTATCCGAACAACAATCGTTTGTATTTTTTTCACGTGGAAATCTGTTTGATTTCCATTCGTGACACCAGCTACTTTTATTAGAATACTGCACCTGTATGATCGTTTTGGAAACAACGCATTAAATTAAGTAAAACACTTAAATTCTTTTTATTATTATGACATTTTTAAGTTGTTTACGTTATGTGGGTAAATAAGTAGAAATAATTTTGGACATATTATTGCCGACATTAATTTAAAATTCTTACAAGTCTAATTGTTTGGGCTCAATCGTATTAATGTCTAATCTCTCCCCAAAAATCAACTAAGGGAATAAATGTTCTTTGTCACTGCCCGTTTTGTATGAAGTAAATTAAAGAAATCTTAATGCATAATGTAAACTAATGAAATAATTTCTGTCACGTTATCACAGGACCACTTGAATTGAGCGACTAGCTCAAAGCCTTTAGCTTTGTGGACATTTAGGCCGTAAAAATATTGTTAACAGCCTGAGAGAACAATTACAGCTGTGTAGTTTTTCGGTCTGCCATAATTGCACACAATGGGTTCTTTACTGTAAACAATTAACTGTGAATTGCTGTCAAAATAATCTGCAACTGATAGCAAAGTCACGAATATTCCAGAACTCAGTGCATTGAAATTGACCTGAATCAATTTATTTTTCAGCCAAAAGTGCGTAATAGTTGCGTTTTTTCACACGTGCATTAAAAAAGACAAGAAACAGTCAGATTTGTGAAAAAATAGCCACACACACACATAACGCATACATAATAAATGAAGTGATGCTACTAGTTTACAAAATTCCCCGATCGATAGAGTCTTGGAGATCTTCGGCAATTTCAGTTGCCAAAGTAGAGTATGGCGGTTGGTTAGAAAGGATGGCTGCTAGGAATTCCTCAGTCGTGAAAAATGAGACCACGTCAGTTAACTTGTCGACAGTTTTTCTAGTCAGATGTTCCTCTGAAACGTATTGTGCGAGGGCGCCTGCGGTTTTAATGGCGGCTTGAATTTTTGTCAAGTTTGACATCTTCTGTAGGTTTGCTGGTCCCCGAACGTGCCGTATGAAACAGAGGGCGGCTTCTTTCACAACTTCCCTGCATTCGTTCATATCCTCTTCTTGTTGCTTTTTCAGACAACCATTGGCAGCGACAATAAAGAGCTTGATGTTTATCTTTAGAAACTGCTTTACGATGTAGTCGGCCCGCTCCTTCGACTGCGTATAATGCCAAATCAGCTGGTGAATATTGTCGACAAGACGACTAGTGATTTCATTAAGGAAAAGCCTTTTAGTTTGATTAGGAAAACTGCAAGCAATATTTTTCTGCGCCTTTATTGTAATCTGTTTTGCATTAAATATCGTTCTCTGCTTTGCATTCCCCTTGAGGCCCGACATCACGTTTGAGGAGAGTCGGGGTAAACAGTCGCACGTCCAATAAGTCTCAGCAGTGATTGGTCCCTACCCAACCAATCAAAAGACTTCTGAAGAAATGTTAAGCCAAAACCCCGAAGATGCATTTGAACCAACGGAATTGACTTATTATTGTAGATTTCAAGATTACGATCCTTAAATAAATACATGGCTCATATTTATAATCATAGTTTTCAAGTTAATTCTATAACTTTTCCAAAGATGCATCCAGAACACTGAATGGTAAGTAACCAAAGTAGGGTAATTTCAAGTTTTTGGTCCACTTTTATAGTTTTGATCAAAGATTGTTTGGCGATTTACAATAAAGGAACAACTTTCCTATTAATATGGTCAATGTTGGATTTAATCTAAAATTGTTCCAATGTTTCCGGTTAGAACTTATATTTTTTTCCAGGTTATTGTTCACAAACTACTGATGTTCAATTTGCTACGGTATAAATCATATTTCACGAAACCGTCAGTAAACCATTGATACCTTATCCCTGTAATCTACATTCTTCTGTCATTAGGCGATACCTTTAATTATAGCTAGTTAGTGAATGGTCACCACACAATAGTATCTTTGATATGTTTGGCAAAATAATTAGTTCATCGTCGTGTACAAGGGTGTAAGCACTACTCGGTTGGCCAAATGCACACATAAAATTTCAAATGCACCTCTTTCAAAGGACTTTGTATCAAAAGCCCTAGGTCTAAGGGCCTGCCTCACGTTTAGCGCTATTTTCCCTGTTTAAAATTTGGGACATTAGACAAATCAAGAGTTTTTGCAGGCGCATTCTATGTGTGCCAGCTCCTTTTTTAAAGGATTTTCATGCACGTTTAAGTTGGTTGACGCTCTGGCCTCCTTCGTTAAATCTGTTTTAAAAATTATATTGAACACATTAAAATTAATAATGGCCGTGCTGTTTTCACGATACTGAGGTGCTCATTTAAAGCCAAAGATTTTATTTACTAAAACCACGGTAAGTCATGTGGAGCCAAACACGTGCTTGAGACATTAGGAGGCAACCCTCAAACCACCAAGATTTGCTGACATCACTCCCTTTACCCCAGGTTTGAGCAATAATTTCACACTTCAGGTGAGAGCTCAGTGGGCGTGTCTGTGTGTGCAGTTTCAGTGGACAAGAACGCCAAGCCTATAAGGGCAACGAGTTATCAAATTTTAAAACTTTTCAAATCTCGTGTAAAGAACAGTCAAGGGTCTGGCTACTGAGTCCCCTGGCACACCACTGACTGCCTCATTAATTATGATGAAGTCATTGCGAAAGGGATCTGAAATGAAGGGAGAGTGAATTGGTTTGAAAGCCTCCTTTGTGGGGAAAGAAGCTAGTCCTACAGTTTAAATTTAATAGAACTCACTAAAGAAGGTCAATTTGCTTGATTTTCGACAACACAGATAAGCACCAGATACATACATAACGGGCAGTCCAATTACATAGCCGTAGGGCATTTCCCGAAATGTTAATAGAAAAGACGCAAATTTTGTCCAAGTGTAGCTCAAGTAAAATAGCCATTGTAAAACGCGTGATAAACATTTGAGGGATTGGCAAAAGGATATGTCAAAAGACTAGAAACTAATTTTTGGGAATCTTCATGGCGACCTTTACATAATCGAATTTAAGACGGATCGGAATAGAAAAATACGATATAGCTACGTAGATATCATAATTGTACTTTTTGTAGACGATGTGCTTATGTAAGCCACATGCCAGTGCTCATTAAGAAGAAATAATATACAATAATTTACATGTGACGCGGCTCTCGGGCACTCTTTAACTACATTTCGCAATTAGCATTAAAAGGGGTAAACATGAGTGCCTTCTTAATGCAGGTCTGCCAGCAGACTCCACTTAATGAGTCGGTGT